TGTAAATTTTGGTCGATGACATGAGACAAAGTATATGTGAACTGCTGTATGAAAAGTGAATTTACTCTGTAAATCTTCACCCAAATCCTAATAAAAAATAAATTAATTAATTAATTTTAAAAAAATGCTCCTGCCTCTGTTTATATAGCCTCTCTGCCTGGGGCTACAGGAATACACACCCCTCTTGCCTAACTATCCTCTCCTCAGATCCATGCCCTTATTTTAAGACCCGCCTCAAGTACTATCTCATCCATGTACCAGAAAATATTTAGAATGGAAGAGAGTCATATCACCTGCCCTCAATTAGCTTACAGTCTATGTGGAGAGTTAAGAAATATGCAAGAAACCCCATGATTTTCTACCCCAACCCTCAAACTTAACTCCTATGTCAGTTTTCCCATCCCAGTCATTGACACTTCCAATTTCCCAGTTGCTTAGTTCAAAAACCTAGGGGTCTTGCTTGATTCCTCTGTCTTTCACTCTATACTTTGTCATGCACATACGCTTAATTCATCAGCAAGTCCCAATCCAACATGTTTTCACCTCTGGTGGCGTAGTGCCTAAGGCATTTGATTGCTAACCAGAAGGCTGGCGGTTCAAACCCACCAGCCACTCCTTAGAATGAAGGTTGGGCAATCTACTTCCATAGTGATACCACCTGGGAAACCCAACAAAGGGTCACTATGAGTGGCATCCGACTCAATGGCATGAGTTGTGTTTTTTTTTTTTTGGTTTTTAATCTAGCTTACCATCCTCTCTTCCTTGGACTTCTGTAATAAACTCCTAATTTGTCTCTTCGCTTTACTGTTATCATCCCACATGCTTTTTCTAAACACAAGAATGAGTAAGACAAAGTCATTTCTTTCACAGAAGTTACAATACAATTCCAATCTGTGGACCTGAACTATTAACCAACAAGAGCATATATCACTTCATGTTAGAGTATGCCATTCTGCAGCATTCTAGGCTGAACCTATCTCTCTGTGTCCCTTAGAGATGTTTGCAAAATCTAGAGAAGCAAAGTTCAGAGTTCATCAGAGTCAAGAGGTTACTGCTGAAAAAGACTAGGCAAGGAAAAGTAAGGTAACAGAGAGGCAGAGAGAAAATGGGCTTTAGAGTCAAATGGACCCAACTGTGAATCCTAAATTTGACATTTAGTATTCCATGATTTTAAATAACAATATTCAGCCACAAAATAAAAATGATGATGATGAGATGATAATAATAGTGATAATAATACCAATACTAATTACAGACCACTTGCAAGTTACCTAAGTTAATAAATGTTTGTCTGTTTGACTCCAAAAACCACTGTGGTAATTTGATTTGTGAGATGATACATGAGAGTTAAGGGAACAGCTTTGACAGTGTGGCAAATAAATTCATAAATGTATGTGATGAGATAGCCAAGTTCTACTGCCTCTTCGACAATAGAGCAACTAAAGCACAAGATGCTATTTTATTTCTGTGTATTTGTAGACATTATGTGGGACCAATGACATCACAGTCTATAAGTTAAGGGATAGAGTCATGGGTACCTCCTTAGGATCAACCAACAATGGCTATGAAAATAAAACAAACAAACAAACAAAAAACTCACTGTCATCAAGTCGATCCCAACTCATAGCAAATCTCTTTAGATTTCCGAAGCTGTAAATCTTTAGGAAGTAGAGTGCCAGTCTTCCTTCCACGGAGTGGCTGATGGGTTTGAACCACCAACCTTCTGGTTAGCAGTCAAATGCCTTAGGTGCTATGCCACCAGAGCTCCTTAACAATGGCTATAGTCACAGTAAAAGAGGGTAAAAAGAGAACCTACAGACTGGGGAAAAAAATTTGGCCATCATACATCTGATAAGGAAGAGTCTAATCTCTAAAGCTTATAGAAAATTTCTACATCTCAAAACAAAAAGGCAAACAATACAATCAAAAAATGGGCAAAGGACATGAACAGATATCTCACTAAACAAGACATTCAGGTGGCCAACAAACACATGAAGAGATGTTCATGATCATTAGCCATTCCAAAACCAAATCCACTGCCATCGACTCATAGTGACCCCCATTTTTGGATTTCCAAGGTTGTAAATCTTTATGGAAATAGATTGCCGCATCTTCCTCCATGGAGCAGCTGGTGGGTTTGAACCACTGACCTTCTGGTTAGCAGCCAAATGCCTTACCCACTATGCCACCAGAGCACTCCTTCATTAGCCATTAGAGGGATGCAAATCAAAACTAAGATACTATCTCACCCTGGCAAAACCATCACAGATCAAACAAACAGAAAACAACAAATGCTGGTAAGATTGTGAGGAAACTGGAACTCTTACACAATGCTGGCAGGATTTTAAAATGGTACAACCACTACAGAAAACAGTATGGCGCTTCCTCAAAAAGCTAGAAATGGAAGTAACATATGATCCAGCAATTCCATACCTAGGTATATGTCCTAGAGAAATAAGAACATTGACATGAATAGATAAATGCACACCTATGTTCACTGCAGCATTATTTACAATAGCAAAACGATAGAAACAACCTAAGTGCCCATCAATAGATGAATGGATAAACAAAATGTGGTATATAAATACAAATGGAATGCTATGAAACAATAAAGAATAATGATGAATCTGTGAAACATAACATGGATGAATCTAGAGGGCATTATGCTGAGTGAAAGAAATCAATCACAAAAGAATATTGTATGATACCATTTTTATAAAATCAAGAATAGGTTCACACACAGAAAGCAACATTCTTTGATGGTTACCAGGGATGGAAGGGTGAGAGAGGGACAATCACTTACTATATAGTAAAACCAAACCAAATCCATTGCCATCAAGTCAATTTTGACTCATAGTGACCCTACAAGACAGAGTAGATCTGCCCCACAGGGTTTTCAATCTTCACGGAAGCAGGCTGCCACATTTCTCTCCCGCAGAGTGCCGGTGGTTTCAAACCATGAAACTTTTGGTTAGCAGTGGGACACTTTAACATCTGCACTTCAGGGTTCCTCTACTAGACAGTACATAGTGGACACATGTTAATTCTAGTGAAAGGAAAGGCAGTTCACAATATGAGGGAAAGTCAACATAATGTGACCAAGATAAATGAAGACACTGAGAGGTATACAAGAATAAAGGACAACTATAGTAAATGATATAATGTATACAATTCAGCAACAACAGTAATAACAGCCAAAAATGTGTGATGGTTACATAGGTAGATATGTATGCTACATAGGTGTGGGAGAGCATTAGGGGAGTACATGCATGTGCATATATAGGTATAGTTGTGGGTATTTGTATACACATATTTGTATATCCTACATATATATATATATAATCAGGAACTCTGGTAGCATAGTGCCTAAGGCACTTGACTGCTAACAAGAAAGCTGGCGGTTCAAACCCACCAGCCACTCCTCGGAAGGAAGGTTGGGCAATCCTACTTCTGTAGTGATACTGCCTCAGAAACCCAAGGAGGGGTCGCTATGAGTCAGGGCCGACTCAATGGCACATAACAACAACAACATATATATCCATATATATATATAATAGAGCACATGGGGGTACAGATATAGAAATTTCCTAGACATATCCAAACAGGTTGTGGGACTGAGTTAATTGGACTTAAAGGCTAAGGACCATAGTCTCAGGGGACATTTAGATCAATTGGCATAGTTTATAAATGTTCTGCATCCTAGTTTGATGAGAAGCATCTGGGTCTTCTTTGCAAGCAGCCACCAAGATACAACTATTGGTGTCTTCCCATATGGAGTAAAGGAGAATGAAGGAAACCAAAAACCAAAGGAAGCAATTGTCCACAAGACTAATGGCCCACCTGAACCACAGCTTCCTCCTGCCAGAGACCAGAAGAACTAGATGGTGCCTGGTTAACATTACTGACCTCTCTGATCAGGGACATATAGAAAGTCCCAGATAGAACAGGAGGAAAATGCAGAACAAAACTCAAACTCATGAAAAAAAGATCAGACTTAATGGACTGATAGAGACTGGAGGAACCCCAAGACTATTGCTCTTAAAACACCCTTTTAATCTGTAGCTGAACCCACTCCTGGAAGTTACCTTTGAGCCAAAGAATAGATCGACCTATAAAATAAACAAATCACCTATGAGGAATGTGCTTCTTGGAACAATTAACTATATGAGACCAAACAGGACATCTGCCCAAAAGCAAAGATGAGAAGACAAGGAAGGGCAGGGAAATTGGAGGGATGGAAATGGGGATGGCAGAGTAGAAATGGGGAGAGTGCTGATATACTGCAGGGACAGCTACCAATGTTATGGAACAATTGTGTACAAATTGTTGAATGAGAGACTAATCTGCTATGTAAACTTTCACCTAAAACACAATGTTTATTTAAAAAAAAATTAACCAAAATATAGTCCAGTAAGGAATAATGGTTGCAAACTGGTCTTTTTCATCCACAACCATACCCATGAAGGGTCACACTGTAGAAATAAATATACTAAACTACCGAGGTATCACATGTAGTCGTCGTTGAATTTCTCTCCTAAGGCGGGACTGCATTGATGCTACTTGCTGTTGCGTCAGGGCCTTGTCACAGGTCTGGTAGATCAATCTATAGCACAGGCTGACCTGTTGCGTCTTTGGATGCTGAAAACAACTAAGAAACTGTATGGATATGACAGTATCTTGGGACACTTCTCGGACCATAGTGTGAAACTCTAGTTCATCAAGTCCTTTCTTCTCATCCAACCAAAAACTAATATCATGCATATAACATGGGGGATACAGGGAATAGTTTTTGAAGGGTTCTATTTTCCCAGGGGCAAAATGCTTCAGGAAACGGTTATCAAAGGTCCACAACATTCTCCAGTCAGAGATACCCCAGACAAGCATGGCTAATAGGTCCAAGTTCACAGATACAGACACAAAACATTGGTCTTTGTGTATAATGTCTGCAGAAGATGTGGTGACAGACCCAATAATCAAATCCTTGGCACCGTCTAGATCAAAATTATGAGGCTTTACACTAATCGTATAATCTTTTCCATTTGGTTGAAGGACAAATTCCACCGAACTGTTCAACTTAGAGCCTTCTACCAATGGCTGGGTCAGCAGGTTATCTAGAATATGCTTCAGATGATCCAGTAGTGACTGAAGACAGCTGTCCTTCAGATTTGGATTAAACCCAAGGATTAACAAAGTCTCATGAAATGCTGGCATTGTGAAAGGCAAGATGAGGCACTTCCTAAAGACGGGTCCACTGAGGATATACAGAGAACCTAGGAGAAAGTCTACTGCTTGGATGATAGCCTGAACATGAATGAGGAGAGAAGGTCTAAGGCAGACCTTGGCCTGGCCATAGATTCCTTCATGAGCTTCTTCCTTATCATCTCTTTCAGGACCACTAGGAAGGCTAAGTCCTGAAAATGACATGAGAAACTCCTCTATATCTTGTGTTGTCCCATCAGTCAGTGGCTCAGCATTTGAGTTGTCCTCGAGGAGATTAATCCAAAAGGCAGCTGAGAGAAAATCAGAGTTCCAGGAAGTGAGAACACTGTTGCCTCCCTGTGACAGCAAAGGGAAGGAACACTTCAGTCTTTCTAGAGGGAAAGCTTTGCCCAAAGCAGCAATGAGTTTCTCGTTTATGATTTTGACAGGATGACATGAAGGTGCTTCCAGGAAACCCCTGTTTAAATACAAACAAAAAAAATAAATAAATAACTTTTATAATTTAAAATAATAAAATAACCATGACATAGCTAGAATTAAAAACACAGATAGCTGTAAAGAAAGGAATTATCCCTAAGTCGATTCTGGAAGGAAACAAAGAAATCATCTACCATTAACAGAGTTGTCATGTTTTGTAAAATTCTGACAGCCACTATTCCTAAAATACACCGAAAAATATGGCAGTTTTTAATTCTAAAGAGGCTTGAGAAGATCAAACTGTCAATTATGCACAGCACTAACATCAAAAATCTATATAGCATCCATTTGCTATATGGTTGCCATCAATCTAATCAGGATAGAGCTTGATATGGCTGATATTTCCAATAAAATAGCAGGTTACCTGTTCAACTTTCCTGCAAGTGCTTCTGGTTCTGGAAAGGAAAACCACTGGTCACCCAGTCTGACTCTGAAGATTCTGGATTGAAAACATTCAAAGCGCAAGCTCCGGGTGAAGATATGGTTCAAAGCACCTTTGAGGTGAAACGTCTTATCTTGACTCCTGATAAAATACATATCAAGTATAAAATCTGTCATTACTGAAGAAAGCAAATGTGACTAGAGAATGAATCAGAAAACTGGTTGTAGAAAAGTCTGCTTTTGAGCAGATGAGTTTTCTTTGTTTTGTTTTGTTTTTAATCATTAGTGAAAGAAAAGAAGGCTTAGGCCTATGTTATTACTTACCTATATCCCGTACACTTGTACCCTGGCACTGTCTCACAACTGAAGGGATGCACATCACTTAAAATGAGCCCTCCCAAAGCTGCCATGGCAACCACTTGCCAACTGTTGTGCCATTCTCTCCTGGGCTTGTCAGCAGGAGTCCCACCTTGTCCTTTACACAGTGCCACATGCACTTCTCCTGCGTCTGCAAGAACATCTGCACAACTAATGAGGGGGAAAAAACACCAGCCATTTATCAAAAGCAGGGGGAAATTACACAGAAATTAGCAACATATGCATGGTTTGGCTGCAAAGATTGGACTTCAAATTAATTAAAATCCAATGATACATATTTGCAAAGGTCTATTAGACGGCCTAATGCATTTGATTGCTAACCAGGAAGTTTGTGGTTCAAGTCCACCAGCCGCTCTAAGGAAGGAAGATGAGGCAATCTACTTGTGTAAAGATTCACCACCTTGGAAACCCAATGGGGGTCGCTATGAGTCAGAATCAATTCAATGGCAGTTGGTTTGGTTTTGGGTATTAAATTTCAAACAAGCAAAGAAAGTGGCTAAAAGTAAATAGGAGTGAAAATTCAATGTTCAACCCACTAATCAATACTAGTGCCTAACCTAGCAGGTTGTCCAGATTTGTATTTGTCATCCACATCACAGAAAAGTCAGTGTCTACAAAGTTCATATACATGAGTCACTGCTTACACTGTTCCTCCCCATTTAGAAAGTTCTTTTCACTCTCTTGCTAATATAATTTTATACTTCAAATACTAATTTTAAATATTGCTGTTATGAAAAGTTCCTGGATGGCTATAATTCACAGAGACCTCTAAAAGTAGCACATATTTTGCTGTAATAGCAGTATAAAGGACTGTTTTAAGTCTACAATAATTTTATAAGGTTGTTGTTGGTGTTAGGTTCCGACTCACTTTTGATTCACAGCAAAATGAAGTACAATAGAACGAAACACTCCCCGGTCCTGTGTTAGCCTCACAATTGTTGCTATGCTTGAGCCATTATCGCAGCCACTGTGTCAATCCATCTCCTTGAGGTTCTTCCTCTTTTTCATTGACCCTTTATTTTACCAAGCATGATGTCCTTCTCCAGGGGCTGGTCCCTACTAATAACATTCCCACTTTACAGATGCGGAAACAGAAGCATGGAAGATTAAGTAAACTTGCCTAAAATCACACAACTAGTAAGTGGTGGGGCTGAGATTTGAATCCAGGCAGTTTCGCTCCTAAGTCCATGTTCTTAGTCATGACTCTATACTGGCTCTCGTTATTGTGCATTATCTGAAATAAGTGATCCTCTCTTTACATGCTCAAGAGTATATAATTTTTAGAATTATATGTCTGTCTTTCCAACTTGATTGTAGGTTCCTTTTGGGCTTTACATTCTCTTTAAATCTATCATAAAAACTTAAACATGTCTGCCTTACTTCCCCAATGAAAATGTTTGAGGGTAGGAACAATGTTATATGCATCTCATACATTTTACTTGCGAGGGCTCTCCTCTTCCTCACCTTTGGAAAAATTTAGCAAGCAGGTCTCTGTTTTTAGCCACTCCAGCTTTGCGTCCACAGTGCGGGAAATTGAAATAAATTCGATCAAACTCCCTGTCTTGTAATTCAAAGGCATCTGCCAGCCGGGTGCAGTCCACACCAAAACGCACCTCTGTACCTGGCAAGGATAGTTTGGAGGTGTGAAATAAAGACAGGATGTCACAGGACCTGAACTAGAGAAAATCTCTTCCTAACCAGAACTGTGCAAACAGTCCAGGTCCAGGCACCCAGCAGAGTTCCTGGAAATAGCCCCAGGAAGACCAAGACTAATCCCCCTTTCCCATTGGGGATGGGACCGGTAGCTGGGTGGGGCTTCACTAAACGGCTGGCCGCCCTACCTCGCTCGCGCAGGCGCTGCAGATTCTCCAGGGCCAAGGGATTCCGGGCCAGGTCCGCCGGGCGCTGTAGGCAGGTGGCGATTAGACAAGTAGTGCTCGGTTCCAGGGTCTCGCTCAGGGCGGCGGCGAAGGAGAAATTCCCCTCCCCAACCAACAGGAGGCGCCGAGGGCCCATGACCTCAACTTGCTCCACACTCGCGTTCTCGGTGGCGCTTGTTTCTTACGTCACTTCCCTCGCGGGCCTCTGGCCTCCACCTCTTCACTCGTCACTGATTGATGACGCACCCAAAGTGCGTGTTTTTGTGTAGCAACTGATGGCGGCGATTCCCAGGAACAGCAGTAACCATGAGAGCAAAAGAGAGACATCCACCACTCTGTTCTTCTACTTCCCCAGCCCCTCTGGAAAATAGAAATTCCTTTTAGCGGCAGGTCCAGGGGGAGGCGAGCTGTGCGTGAAAGAAGCGAGGCGGGGCTGAGACCGAGAGATAGGTCTGTATCGTATTTGTTCCTGTCACCGGGTGTTTTGTAACTCCATTCGCCTCGTCCGAAATAGCTCTCTCCCACTGTGTCCGCTACCAGCAATTTTCCCAGGTGCTTCTAACGCCTATGTTTCATTCATTCAACAAATATTGAGAATTTATTATGTGCTAGGCCACTGTGAAGGCCTTTGGGGAAGTGTGAGAGCACTGAGAATCTTGGATGGACACAATTCAACCTATAATTTCATCGGAGTTTGCAGTGTAGTGGAGAATGCACACAACAAAAGAAACAATTCTGGTAGGGGAGATGAGTTTTGTAAGTGTACTAATGCCTAAGGCATTTGACTGCTAACCAGAAGGATGGCTGTTCAAACCCACCAGCCACTCCTCAGAAGGGAGATTGAGCAATTTACTTCAGTAGAGATGTCGCCTCAGAAACCCAAGGATGGGTCGCTAAGAGTCGGGTTCTACTAGGCGGCAGTGAGTTTGGTTTGTTTTGGTTTATGGAAGCACATGGAAGGGAAACCTTACCAAGTTTTGTGGTGAAATGGAAGTATTAGATGAAAGGAACCAGAGTTGAAAGCCAAGGGGGAGAAGTATTCCTTATCTGAGTCAAGAGGAGTGAAGAGGCAGAAGCAACAATGTGTGTAAAAGCATGGTGAAGAGACAGAAAAGTTTATGGTGGCTGAAACATGGTGGGAGAGCAAGAAACAGATGAGACTGAAGACTTAAGCCGTGGCAGAGCTTAGTAGAGTCTGGTAAGCCATTATAAGACCCTGGACCTTATTCTGAGTACAGTGGACACCCACTAGAAGATTTAAATAGGAGGATGACAATTAGATTTCATTTTCAAAAGTTCAGGTTTCCTTTGGAGAAAGGCTGGAGCAGAACAAGGCTGATGGCAAAAAAAAGATCAGATATGAGGCTACTATGCTAATCAGACACAGGCCAGTAGTGATGTGAATGAGAAACTTGGTAGTGGGGATGGAGGGTAGTGAACTGACATCAAAATCAACAAGGCTAGTGACTGGGTGGATATAGAAGGCTGAGAGAGAAGTCAGAGTCATGGATAAACTCCAGGTTTCTGGTGTGGAGAACTGAGTTGATGGTGATGTCTATCCTTATAGCCCTGGGACTTTGTGACCTACTGTGGACCTAGGTCTGCAGTCTAGGCCTATTCTACTTTGTGGGACAGCTCCTCTTTAGTCATCATGATGTTTGGTGACATCAGCACTGCACATCTGTCTTCACAAAGGCAGATGGTGTCAGGGCAGTTACCAAGGATGCCATCAGTATTGGCTTTGTCCCTGATTGTGGAAAGACACATGACTTGTGGCTACCAAATCATGGCCATAGGGATTCTGAATGATCTACATTCTTTTTTTGCCTGAAGAACTGGAAAGACTGGATTTGGTGACATCTCTTAATGAACATGGAACAACCAAATAAGGATTTCTGTCACTTTCTTGGGAAAACTTCAAACAGCACATGTTGCTCAACACCATATTACTCTTCAGGAAAGGTATTGGCTTGTCCCTAAGCCAGGGAACCAGACTCATTTTTTTGGCAAAACAAAAAACAACAGCAACAACAACAAAAAAAAAAGGTCAGGCTTTTAATGTCTTACAAAAAAAACTGAAATTCAGACGATCATCTGGTATGTGCAAAGAACTACCAGTTGGGAGAACAGGTAGAGGGAGAGTTGCAATAGTGAGTAAGACACAGATCCTGCCCGTAGGGAGTGTACAGTTGAGTAAAGGAGATAATACAGGCACTTGTAGAACTCTAGCATAAGGCAGAAAGTTATAAAGATAGTAAATGATAGCAAGATGAAGTTCTGTGTGAGGTAAAAGGAGAGAGAAGTTAACTTCAGAGAAGGTATCACTGAAGAAATATATTTGAGCTGGGTCTAGAAGGAAGGAAACTCATTGATCTTTTACTTTGTTGTGTAGTTATCAACTTTCACGTCTTTTTATTCTCTTTGACTATAGCAATACCCTTAATCCCTAAATCTTTGTATCTCAAAATTACCTCAATATTTAGCTAGTTCTCCATATAGTATTGGAGTAACAAGAAGCTTTCTTATGTTTTCTCAATGAAACCATTTAATCTATACAGTGTCTGCTACTGCTGATTGAGAGGATAGGTTAAAGTGTTCGTAACTATGGAGAGAAACAGAACCACAACAATTAACTTTCAAGGAAAGCCTTGATCCTTAGTAAAATATGATTATGTCTTACCTGGACATGTAGAGCAGAGAGTAGGAAAGGATGCCTTTTTTGCTCTCTCGTTTGTTCAACAAACTTTCTGTTCTTGCCTTTTCTCAGACACAGGCCCTCATCTGTTTCCTCACAAACCCACATTGTGGCAGCCTCATTAATGCAGATGGCCATGCTGAAGTGTGGACAGATTGGAATGATATGTCCAAATTTTTCCAGTATGGATGGAGATGCACCACTAATGAGAATTCCTATTCAAACCATACGCTGGTGGGCAACTGGAACCAGGAAAGATACGACCTAAAGAATATTGTGCAGCCAAAACCTTTACCTTCCCAGGTAATCAATCAATCTCTCTCTCTCCATCTATTAGCAAAAGAGATGCTGCTCGCCACTCAGAAATTTGATAACTTCCAACACTGAAATCTCTTAGGTCTCTGTTCAGTGAAGTGGTTAGAGGAGGAGGAGTCCTTAGCTGGAATACCTACCCCACTTTACTATCAAGTTGAATCTTACATTGTGTGAAGGTTATCAAAAAGGATAGATAGTGCTCTTTATCTTGCTTTGTTTGGATTTCATTTATTTATATGCAGAAATATATAATGGTTTCTGACCCAGACTAGGAGCTCTGGTGGCATAGTGCCTGAGGCATTTGACTGCTAACCAGAAGGCTGGTGGTTCAAATCCACCAGTTACTCCTCGGAAGTCTGGGCAATCTACTTCCGTAGAGATCCTGCCTCAGATACCCAAGGAGCAGTCTCTCTGAGTTGGAACAGACTTGACAGCAGTGAGTTTGGTGGGTTTTTTTTTTTTTTTTGGTTTCTGACTCAGACTGGCTTCTCCCTGGTCTTTGCCTACCTAGCTCTGAATTTTGCCTTTAAATCTTTCCTATATAAACAGACATATGAAAGATACAGATTAAGGACATATAAGCATCTAGTCCATCTGAAATATGATAGAGTCTATTAGAATGCATGTCATTGTATCCTTTATATCCTGATAATAGCAATAGACTCCTAGATGCTTAATCTATTAATTTTCCTTTCCAGTTTGGACACTATTTTGAAACAACATATGATACAAGCTATAACAACAACATGCCACTTTCAACACATAGTAGGTGGACTATTCTTTCTAATTTTTATATTCTTAAGATCTGTTTCAGTGCCTGGGACATAGAAGGAACTCAATTAAAAGTATACAGAAAGAGTGAATAAGTGATTGAATGTAAAATTTCTCTGTTTTTCATTTTGGCATTACTCACTGTCTTTTCTCTCAAAAATAAGAAAGAGATCAGTTACTAAAACTCCTTGTTGTTGACTGATTCCACTTGTCTTTTCTCTTCCATCAGGATTTGAGCAAGAGCCTCACTGGTTCCCAGGACATCAACCTGAACTGGACTCTCCTCGTTACAAATGCACAGAAAAGTCAACTTATATGAATAGCTATTCACAACCTCAAATCACACATCACCTTGAGTGTGTATGGGATCCTAAAAGTGGCCAGTTTCACAATCCAGGATTCTAAGAAAGAATAAGTGTTTCTTCAGAATAGAATGTAGGAGGGAGCATTTTCTAAGCACAACTAAGAACTTAGCTTGCTGTAAAACAGTCTCACTCTCTGCATAAAATATTCATAAAATATTATCTACTCCTTTTATTGTTTTAACAAAGGTTTAAGTATCAAATTTAAGTAGATTATACCTACTCTTAGTTGTATACTAGGGTACTATAAGAGGATCTAGGAACTCTGGTAGCATAGTGCCTAAGGCACTTGACTGCTAACCAAAAGGCTGGCAGTTCAAACCCACCAGCCACTGCTTGGAAGGAAGATGGGGCAATCTACTTCCATAGTGATAACTGCCTCAGAAACCCAAGGAGGGATCGCTATGAGTCGGGTCCTACTCGACGGCACATAACAACAGCAATAGGAGGATCTAGAAATAATTAGTTCTCTCAAATCTACAATCACTCTGTCTGTGCCTGCCTTCCCGCAATGGCAGAACTGCACAATCCAGCATAACTTAGGCTCTGGATGAAAGCCTGGTAGTTGTGGTCATGTAGCATACTTAGTTGTTGAATCCCTGGGTGGTGCAAACAGTTACCTCACTCAGCTACTAAGTGAAATGTTGGAATTTCAGGTTTACTCACAGGGACCTCAGAAGAAAGGCCTGTTGATCTACTTCCCAAAAAGCAGCTACTGGCAAACATAGTCCACAAAGAAAATCTTCTATGTCCTACTTTGTTAAATAGTGACTGGATTCTTAAAAGCTTGTGAGTAGCTACCTAACTTGCAGCTATTGGTCTCTCTGCATCTGGAGCAAAGAAGAGTGAAGAAAATCAAAGACACATGGAAACAATTAGTCCAATGGACTAATGGACTGTGCAAACCTCAGTGGTTAAGTGCTTGTCTGGTAACCGATATGTTGGCAGTTCAAACCCACCAGCAGCTCCACTGAAGAAAAGATGTGGCAGTCTGCTTACATAAAGATTATTGCCTTGGAAATTCCCTAGGCCAGTTCTGTTCTGTCCTACATGGTTGCGTTATTAGTTGGAATCAACTCAATGCCAACAAGTTTTTTAATGGGAAGTGAAGTGATAAATCTGTTTTTATTTTTTATTTTTTGTTTTTAGCCAGAAAAGTGACCTTTGTTATTTGTTTTGATTTGCTTGCCTTGGCAGGAACAGATGAAATTGTTCATTCTTCATTTAAGCCTGTGGTTCTCAATCTTGACCAATTAGAATTATCAGAAGATTTCCTATTAAGGGTCCCATAGCACACATCGTTGGTGGACATCTTAGAATCTTGAAAAGATGTCTTAGCATTTTTCTTGTTACTACACCCTATACCTGCTTGGTGAACGGAGGTGTGGCCAGCCCCACTCCGACCTACCTTCTGGGCCTAAAGGAACTCCATCACAGTCTGTGTGCTCAGACAGAGCCTGGGTGCCCTACTCAGTCATCCACCGATTTTTTCTTTTCTTTCTTTTTTTGCTTTCTTTTTCCCGGTGATTAATTTGCTTGTATTTGTCCATTTCAAAACAAATAATATTATTAATACTTTTTGTCCTTTTTATTATTATTATTAATTTTCCCCTACCAGGTCCTAGTTTTCAGCATTTTTTCTTTTCTCTGTGCCTGGTTGAAATTTTGCCCCCCTCCCCAATTTAAGGGTTTTTTTTTTCTTTCTTTTTTTTTTCTTCTTTTCTTTCCCCCCTTTTTTTTTTCTTGTGACTAACCCCAATCCTTGTTTTTCTTTTTGCATTCTTCCTGTTTTTTCCTTCATTTATTATTCTCCTTCTCTACTTTTTTTTCTTTTCCTCTTAGTGCCCTATCCCCAGATATTGCAGGTTTTCTTGTTTTTTCTTCTTTTTTTCCCTTTTCTCTTTTTTTGGTTACTGTTCCTATGTGATTGATTACATGGGGTGTTTTTCGTCCATGGGCTTTTAGTTTTTTGATGGTTATTCAATTGTAATTTGTGTCTAACTGAGTGGGAGACAACAACAGTTCT